GTGCAGGTCTGGCACCAGGACCCCTTCGGGCGCAGGGAGCTCTACGGCTACGGCTTCTGCCACGTGCCGTGCAGCCCGGGCTGGCACGCGCTGGCCTGCGTCACCTGGCAGCCCCTGGGCTCCTGGCAGGAACGGCTCTCCCAGCTCTTTGTGGGCGGGGGGCCCCAGCTGCTGAACAGCGACCTGATCTACACGGGGGCCGACCGGTACCGCCTGCAGACCAGCGCCGCGGGCACCGTGCACCTGGAGCTGGGCGTGCTGCTGCGCCACTTCGCCCGCTACGGGGTGGAGTGCTAGGGAGTGGGCAGGCCCCCGCTGCGGGCCGAGCTCTGTATGGACCCCCCGCCGTGGGGCAGGGCTCTGGGGAGCGGGCGGCCCCCCCCCCCGCCGCAGGCTGGGTGCTGTATGGCCCCCCTGCCGCGGGGTGGAGCGCTAGGGAGTAGGAGGCCCTCCATCGTGGGCTGGGTGCTGTACGGACCCCCCGCCGTGGGGCGGGGCTCTAGGGAGCGGGCAGACCCCCACCGCAGGCTGGGCGCTCTACGGACCCCCCACCATGGGGTGGGGTTTGAGGGCTCTGCACACATCCTGCCCCTGCTGCGGGTTGTGGCGCTGGGGCAGCCCTTGGATCCGGGGGGTCACCGCAAAGCCTCCCCCCCCCAATTTGGTGCCCCCCCCCGACCCTTTCACAGTGTGGACATTTCAGCTGCTTCATGTGGCTCTTTTGGAAGAAGGTGGGGTGGGGGGTTGTTTGTTTCCTTGGGGGCGGGGTTGGCCCAGGGGGTGGGGAAGGGGTCCTGAGCCCTTTCTCCTCTGCGGGGCTGGTTTCAGTCTGTTTCATGGATGGGGGGGGGCAGAACTTCTGGGTTCTTTCCCCTGCTCTGCCATTGCCCCTGGTGACCGGGGCTGTTCCCGGTGCCCCCTGCCTCTGTACCATGGGGCAGCGCTGCCCCCTGGGGGTTGGGCGGGTGCCTGCAGCGCTGTCCGTGCAGGGCACAGAGCCGCCGGGGCGGGTGGGAATCAGACCCAGCGCTGGCTCCATGGGGAGCGCTGGGGGCTGGCGGGGGGGAGGGAGCCCCCTCGGCCTCCTGCTCCCCAAAGAGTTGCCCCCCGTCTCCCTCGTCTCTCTCTCCCCGCCCCCCATTGAACAAACCCCCCCTTTATATAAAGATCCTTTTGCACTAACGGCTTTTCCGAGAGTTTCTCTTCTCCCCCTCCACCCCGGATCGCCATGGTGACCCTTGCAGCAAAGGATTGTGGGGGTGTAGCTGCGTAACGGTCGGGGGGCCGTTGACTGGGAGGGGGGTGAGTAGAAACATAATCGGCGATTGCCCCCAGCCCCCTGCATCGCGTTCGTTCCCGTCCCAACCTGCCGCCCCCCCAGAAATGCCTTAGCCTGTGGAACTCACTGCCACAAGGTCTGAGCGGGGCGGGCGCTCCGTGGGCAGAGAACAGCCAGCGGGAGGGTGACGATATCCCCGGGGGGGGGGGGGGGGGATGAGTCTCCCCTGCTCCCCCCCCAGCCCTAGCTCACGCTCTGCCCTCTGTCTGGGCAAAGTGGAGACGTGTCCCCAAGGGGGCAGTGGCTGGGGCTGTTCCAGTGTCAGCCCAGCAGAGGGCGCCCCTGGGCCATGGCAGCCATGTGTGTCCCCGGATCCTGCGGGGGCTGGAACGGGGCCCATGTCTGCTCCAGTTACAACCCCCCCCCACACTGTCCTCTGGCTCCTCCCAGCGTGACGGATGGGCCCGGACCCCCCCCCCATCCGGCTGCTTGGCGTTGTTCTCCCTTCGGGCGCGAGGCCAGGCCGGGCTGGACCAGCAGGGGGCTGCGGGTTGGGAGTGAGGAGTACCGGCAGGGCTGGGCTAGCAGGGGCTGCGGGTTGGAAGTGAGGGGCACCGGCAGAGCTGGGGGGGGGCAGGGCTGGGCTAGCAGGGGCTGTGGATCAGGAGTGAGGGGCACTGGCAAAGCTGGGCTGGGGGGAGTCCCGGGCTGGGATAGCAGGGAGGGTACAGATTAGAACCCGGGGGGTACAGATTAGAACCCAGTAGTCCTGACTCCCGCCCCCTGTTCCTAGCCCTGGCCGCATGCTCCCTGGCTGACTGGTGCAGGTTGTGGCCTGTTGGAGCCAGTGTCTGATGCCAACTTGGCCCCAGGCCGGTGCCCACCTGCAGCCAGCTGCCGCTCCCCTGCCCGCTGACCTTAACGGCCCCCCCCGGCTCTTCCCTCCGCCCGGCCTAATCGGGGGTGAAATTCCAGGAAGGGCTGGCGGGAGCCATCCCGGAAGCCTCCGTGCCAGCACCGGCTCTTCCTGGCAGGTGGGTCTGGCCTTCACCCCTGCCAAGGGCCCCCGCTGGGCTGGGGCTTGTTAACCCTCCTGCTCCGGCCGGCTCCGCGGCGAATCCCGTTAACGGGGCCGTGTCCCGTGGAAGAGCCGTGCTCGTCCTCCAGACGGGACACAGCTCACCCGCTGCCCAGTAGACAGGAGGCCGGACTCCTGGGTTCTCAGGGAGGGGAGGGGGGGCTAGCAGTAAAATCAGGGGAGCTGGGAGTCAGGACTCCTGGGTTCTCAGGGCGGGGAGGGAGGGCTAGCGGTAAGATCAGGGGAGCTGGGAGTCAGGACTCCTGGGTTCTCTGGGAGTGGAGGGGGGGCTAGTGGTAAGATCGGGAGCTGGGACTCAGGACTCCTGGGTTCTCTCCCCAGCTCTGGGGGGGAACATGGCTGTTTAGAACAAGGGGCGGATAATTCCCCCTGGCGGAGGGGCTGAGCTGAGACCCGTCGCATTCATTCCGCATCCCGCCGGTGTCTCTCCCTGTAGTCCTAAGACCCTTTGAAGGCAGCATCCCAGCGGTTGCCCTCTCCTCCCGCTGTTGGGAGATGGGTGGAGGGGAAACTGAGGCACTGAGCGGGGCAGGGACTCGCCTGAGGCCGAGCTGCGGATCGGTGCCGGAGCCAGTCGCCCCGTCCGGCTCTGGCTCCGTCTCCCCTGAGCTCAAAGCAGCTGCAGTTGAGGCGCTCGCCAGCAGAGGGCGCCCAAGCAGCAGTTTTGGGGTGTCCCCGTTTGCCTAGTGGGAGTTGCTTGCTAGACACCGAGGGAGCATTGGGGTGACCTGGAGCCCCCCAGCCCAGGAATGTGGGGGTTAGGGGGAGCCCTCTGGGGCTGGAGAATGCTGCCGGAGATGGCTGTACCCATGACTTTGGTAGGCCAATGTACACAGCTGGGAGCCAGGACTCCTGGGTTCTATCCCAGGCTCTGGGAGGGGTGCGGGGTCTAGTGGTTAGAGCCAGGGAGGATTGGAGCTAGGAGTCCAGACTCCTGGGTTCCATTCCCAGTTTTGTCACTGGTTCACTCTGAGACCTTAGGAAAGTCGCTGCCCTGCTGCAAGCCTCAGTTTCCCCATGTGACTCTTGTTTGTGATGGGCTAGTGGAGGCTTGTGAGGATGAGTCTGATAACGTCTGGGGGCGGGTGGGAATTGGACCATCGCTGGCTCCATGGGGAGTGCTACCTGAGCTAACAGAAAATCCTCATCACTGCCCGCAGTACAGGGCCTCTGACATGCAGCCATGCAGTACCGATTCCATCCTGCTGAGGGCAGCAGAGCTGGGGCTGTGTGGCATAAACACAGCCCATGGGTCTGGGTTCAAATGGGAAGCAACTTCCCCACCCCAGTGGAGAACCACTAGGCTGCTGCTCCTGCCCTGAGAGAAACTGGCGAGATCTTTGCTCCTGGCTGTGTGTCATGTGCTCTATAGTGGCCACAGCTAATGGGGATTCTCCTTTCATTCGGGGAGTGGGCTGGGAGTTTGGAGCAGGTGGATTCAAATTCCTCCCCTTTCCCCCATCTGGCTTTGGGCCTTCCGCAGCTCGAGTCCGGCCAGCACACGATACCAGCGCCGAGCCTGGGTGCTGGGGTCCGCCCCTCTGTCCTGTCGCAAAACCCCTAGCCAGAGCTGATGGGCCTGGCTTGGGGTCCACATTCCAACTGTCGCCCCGTGAGGCCCTGTCTGCTCCCCGTGTAGACCCCAGTGCCTGAAGCCCCCCCACCTTTCTGCAGTGGGGTGGTGGGTGACCTCCGTTTTCTGGTGTTCCTGGCTGGGCGGCGCCGTGGGGGGCCCTATTCCTCCGCAGAGCAGGACCTGGGCACAGGCTGGGCAGCTCTGAAGAGACGGTAGCTGCTTTGAGTGGGGGGCAAAGAGGCAGCACCGGGGCGGGGGCGGGCTCGGGGCAGGGAGCTGAGTGAATGCCACAGGCCCCAGAGGAGACGGGTAAATTCTGTTTGCCCCCGTCCAGCATCGCCGCCCCCAAACATTCAAAAATTGCGAGTCAGGCTCACCAAAAATCACGAGATTGGCTTTAAAGTCCTGAGATTCTGTAAAACTCCTCCGGGGGGAGGGGTGTCTTTTTGTTTGCTGTCTGCTTCTCGGGGGTGCCCTGGGGTCACGTTTTGCAGCTTTCTGCCCAGCCGCGAAACGTACTTTTCCTTTAAGAACAAAGGCTGAAATCCTCCCGTCTCCCCTTGACTCCGGGAGCTGGGGCTTTAAAGAAAACGAGCATGACCCTGAGACCCGTGACAAAGTCAGGAGAGTCGGCGACATGGGGCGGGGGCGCTCGCGGTCCCACCGCGCAGTCGCTGCCCAAGCAAAGGAGCTGAGGGCTGGCTCAGCTCCCCTCTGGAGACAACAGGCCCCGGGGGCGGGGGTGCAGGAGGAGAGTGAAGAAGGGATAGAGAAAAAGGCAGCTGGGGAAGGAGAGAAGGGCAAAGTGCCAGCCCGGAGGCGCGAGCAGAGAAGGGAGCGAAGGAAGGAAGGAAGGAGAGACGGCGGGCGGGCGGGAGAGGGGAGAGAAAGTTAAAACCAGGCGAAGGCAGAGCTGTGGGAGGGAGGGAGGGAGCGGGAGGCGGCGGAAGAGGGGAGCGTGGAAGCGGGGGGCGGAGGGCAAGGCGCAGAAAGGGGGAGGGAGGAGGAGGGGAAGGCGAGGGGAGCTCCGGGCTCCCCCCGCCCGTGCTCATTTCCTGGGTGGAGCTGGGCTAGGCAGAGGCAAAACCCTTTAAAACCCTCCAGCCCCAGCTCGCGGGAGCCAGCAGGTCCCAGCAAGCGCCGAGGAGCCAAGCGGGGAGCGGGTGGAATCCGTCCGGCTGGCCTGGCCCCTGGCCAGCCCTGAGCCCTCCGGGCCGGAGGCCAGGCTGAGCCCCGGAGCGGCTCCGTCTCGCCCGAGGAGTGGGCCGGCGCGTGGCCCATGGCCCTGGCCGGCGGCCGGCGACGTCGCTGGGGTTCCCTCCGGCCGCTGCGGGCCGGGATCCCCGGGGGCAGGAGCTAGGCCGACTCGGGCAGGAAGCTGCTTGTCGCCGCAGGGGCCCCCCCCCCGCCCGCCATGGGGCAGGCCATGGGGCCGCTCTTCCTCTTCCTGCTGGCCCTGCTGCGGCTCTGGGCGAGCCAGGCCCTGTCCACCTGCAAGACCATCGACATGGAGCTGGTGAAGAGGAAGCGGATCGAGGCGATCCGCGGGCAGATCCTGAGCAAGCTGCGGCTGGACAGCCCGCCCCAGGTGGAGGGGGGGGACGCCGCCCTGCTCCGCCTGCCCGAGGAGGTGATGTCGCTCTACAACAGCACCCGCGACATGGTGCGGGACATGGCCCGCCAGCAGGAGGCGGCCAAGCCGCGCGAGAGCCCCCAGGACGAGTACTACGCCAAGGAGGTGCACAAGTTCTCCATGCTGCCGGTGAAAGACGGTGAGAGACCGCGGCTTGGGGGGGGGGGGGGGGGCCTAGTGGTCAGAGCAGGGGGGGTGGGAGCCAGGACTCCTGGGTTCTGTCCCCAGCTCTGGGAGGGGAGTTGGGTCTGGGGGGTGTTGGGAGCCAGGACTCCTGGGTTCTGTCCTCCGCTCTGGGAGGGGAGTTGGGTCTGGGGGGTGTTGGGAGCTAGGACTCCTGGTTCTGTCCCCAGCTCTGGGAGGGGAGTGAGGTCTAGTGCTTAGAGCAGGGGGGTGGGAGCCAGGACTCCTGGGTTCTGTCCCCAGCTATGGGAGGGGAGTGGGGTTGGGGGCGGGGGGGCTGGAAGCCAGGAGTCCTGAGTCCTATTTCTGGTTCTGTCACTGATACCCTGAGTGACTCGAGGCAAATTCCTTGACTTCACGGGGCCAAGGTGACGCCTGGTGTAAGTCCATCGGTGCCGAAGGGGTCACAGTGGGGCTGGACTGAGGTGTCTGGGCTTCAGCTTTTCTCTCTGCATGGTGGGAGAACAGGAAACGCTCCCAGGGCCGGCGAAGCATCCGCTGAGGGCCCTGAGATCTGCGCCCGGCACATGCTGGATGTGGGCACTGGGTCCTTACCAGGCAGAGTTAGCAGCCCTGGGAAGTGCCAGTCTGGAGCAGAGCAGGGGCCCAGCTACGCCGGTATCCTGTCTCTACTAGATAACGATGGGATAACCTTTCCCCAGGGCAAGTCCCTTCCTGACCTTGCAGGTCAGAGGTCCGCCGATGCCCTGAAGTATGAGTGTCCACTGCTGTGCTGGGTCCTGCTTAAACCTCCGCATTCCCCATCTGGATCTGCTCATTCTCCACAGAAATGTGCCATCCTTGTCTGGATCCTGCTGAGCCCTTGGCCTCACTGGGATCCAGTGACAGTGAGTTCCACAGGCTAATGCCGTGGGGTGGATAAACCATGTCCTTTAACCCATCCTTTCAGCTTCATAGAATTACTCTTTCTTATGTGTGTGATGGGAGCGCTTAGAGCCCCCGGCCGAGATCGGGGCCCCGTCGGGCCGGGGGCTGCCCAGACCC